GATATTTATTTTGAAGAGAATTAAGTTCTGATGAGAAATCAACAATGGATAATCTGCAACATTTTAAAAATCAAATCAAGATAAATCTCACCTAATTCTTTCATGTAATCATCAAAATTTTCACTAGAGATGAGTTTCCAGCTTCCCACAAATTTGTTGCACATGGTTTTGCTGGTCGTTTGTCCTTGGGAGAAGAGCAATGACAGAAGCAATTTTTAGGACGAGGCAGATGGATGATATGAATGGTAATATCCCAGCCACATCTTTTAAAGAGAGACCTAGGACATGCAAGGCTCAGCACCTCCCAATGCAGAAGGCCAATTCCAGAGGCCAAACAATGGGCCCTTGTGCCATACCATTCATGCTAGTACCAAGACCAGCAGCATTTGCCTGCCACCAACTCCTCCGCAATAATACAAAGAGGAAGGGTGATGGGCATGAATTTGCTCCTATTGTGCTGGAGCACAGATGCAACACAGTGCTCTTGGGAAGGACAGCATTTGATTTTCAGGAAGGTCTTATGACACTGTCTTATGAGGATGAGGAATAAATTTAATGTAGCCATTAAGGAAATAAATACAGATGAAGTAGTGTTTAGGATAAGAAAAAAGTTGTGTGCTATAGGCAAGAAACTGATTCCCAAATTCCTTGCATTATCAGAATGTCAACATACTAGGAGGTCTTAAAGTTATTTCAGAATGTTGAAAGTATAGTGCTCTATTGCAGTGGTCGCCAACTGGTGAGCTGTGAGAAAATTTTGGTGGGCTGCAGAGAAATCTCACCACCCCAGAGCACCCCCACCCAAAGCAATTAATCCAGGCTGCACAGAAACACAAGGCTGCGCAGCCCACACGGCCTGTGGGAACCCTCCCTGCCCACTCACTCCTTACCCGGCAAACTTGCCTGTTAAATTGCTATTTTTCCTTTTTCCAACCATCATCTGTTCTGATGTGCTGGGAGATTTAGATTAGCTAGGAAGCAGGAAATGGTTGGATTCTTGCTTTCTAGCTAGTCTTTAGATCTTCAGCTCTGCTTTTAAGCACAGCTGAACCTCTCTCAGAACTGAAGGTTATATTATTCAGTGCAGACTCGCAGCAAGCAAATTTGAGAGACTGAGCTAACCGATGGCAGATAGATAGATCACTGAATGAATCTATGATTCTGTGAGCAACTCAATCTGCCTACCTGCTTTGCCTGATTTTGGGTAAAAGTTGCTCTTTTTTAATAAAAAATTCAATATTTATATAAATATTTATAATATTTACATACAAGCCATGCCCAGCCAGTCACATGACTACCAAGCCACACCCACAAATTAGGCCACACCCACAGAACCAGTTAGTGGTCCCTGGGGTTTAAAATTATGAGTTTGATGGTCCCTGAGGTCCAAAAGGTTGGCGACTCCTGCTCTATTGTACATAATATTGACACATTCTTCTGACACCACAATAATCTAAAAGGCTTAATAACACAGATCACAGAATGCCCTTAGAGGTAATTCAGCCCAGCCCTGTGTACAGCTATGAATGTAGGACCTACAAGAGATGCTTTTCTAACTTCTGTTTCTATTTCAACCAAAGAAAATTCCATTCCATTCATGACCGTCTTCTTTCCTGCTAAGAAGTTTATCCCAATGTTTAGTAGACTTGCGCAAAACTTTGAAGGCTTGCTTCACTGAAGGAATATTTGAAGTATCCTTTACAAGCTTAATGCTTTATAAAGTAACACGTTCCCTCTCTTCTGAAAGCAAAGTGAAGCAGTTACGTTGTTTTGCTTTAGCTCACTTCTGAGGGTTCCTTCTATGATTCTAAGAGATGGAAGAGGCTCCTGCCCCTTAGTTCAGGACTGTCAAACTCATGGCCTGCAGTCCCGATGTGTCACACGCTGGCCACTCCCACACTCGGTTTAGCAAAGGAGAAAAAAGTCATGATACGTCACATGATGCCATTGTGATGATGTGAGTTTTATACCCCTCCCTTAGTCAGTCTCTTGATTTCACCTCGGGGAGGAAGTTGGTTGCAGTCTTGTTATGTGGAGTACTGGGAATCAGCTTCTTCAAGATACCTTTTCAGTTATTTGAAGATTGTGATAAGCATTGCTAAGTATGTTAGAGTTAGAAATTCTTTAGTGGATTTGTTTTTCCCCGATCATCCCAATCACTTATCTCTATGTATATTCTTTTTTTGTCATTCATAAGATATAATGTCTAACACAAGACAGAACCCCAAAAGCAACCTGACTAATGCAGAATAACAGATGTCTATTCCAGTGATCTGGACTTTGCTTTTATTAACATAGCTTAAGATGGGAGATTAAGTATGTACATGTGTATAGTTTTGGCTTGCATTCAGTTTATAATCTACTAAAATACCAAATCCTTCTCTATGTACTGCTCCCAAGTCTTTTATCTTTTAAAATGACAAAAATGTGAAATTTATGTTTCAGAAGTAAGTTTCAGATTTTACTTCTTATTCAGTATGATGGCTTTATCTGCTAAAGAAGAAGATATGACAGTCATTTCCCCTATTTTGCCTGTCCTGGAGTGCCATATCAACATTAAGATATAATACAAGAAATATGTATTTGATTTCCTCCACTGATTTTCTATACACTATATATATCAATGTTTCTCACCCTTAGCAAGCTAACTTGGAAATTCTGGGAGTTGAATTATATACCTCTTCAAGTTGCCAAGAGTGAGAAATGCTGCTGTAGATTCTTCTCAATGGTGGCCTCCAGATGTTTTTTATTATTTTATACCTATTTTTAATTATTTTATTTTTATTTATATATATTATTATAACTATATTATAAATAACTCAAGGCAGTGAACATATTCAACACACTTTCCTCCTATTTTCCCCACATCAACAACTCTGTGAGTTAAGCAGAGTGACTGGCCCAAAGTCACCCAGCTGGCTGTCAACTAAAAATACTTCTGTGGTCTTTTTAGTTGCCAGCAGAAAGGAAGTGGGGGGAAAGTAGTGCATTCCTTCAATGCTTCAGATAATTGCTAGGCAGCTGAAGCTGTTGGCATGCAAGATTATTACAGGAGAGCATGATTGATGACTCTTGGCTGACGATGTGTCCCATTGGAGAATATACATCCAAGGGGTGAGGGGAAGACCAGGGTCAAGAGTGAAATGAATGATGTGTCTTAGAGTCAGCTGGTCCCAGGTAACGCCGACATGGTCACTCCTAATAAATATATATATATTTATTCTGAGGGATATGGCTAGAGATGTATGATTTGAATGGGGTTGTATTGTTGGAGTCCTGACACTGGCTTTCATGGCCAAGAAAGGACTTGAACTCAGTCTCTTGCTTTCTAGCCTGTGTCTTATCCATTAGACCAAACTTGTGCAAAAGTAGCTGGAAATGAAGCTAACCTAAGGAATCTCTTTCCAAATTTCAACTCCTCCATGACGTTAAACAAGTGTCCATTGATTCTTTTGTGATGGCATCATCGCCCTGTTGTTTCTTGGTGCTTATGAGAATCTGCTTTGATTAAGTATTGTCAACCTGCAAGCGTGGACCTACCACTGAGTATTGACAATAATGCCAATGTGGAAAACAGATTCTGTAACAAACCCAGATATCTAGTCTTTGCCCACATCTAAACCAACATATTCACAATAATCTGTGTCAAGAAGTACATGATTAGGCAGACCTTTAAATGGAAAAAACTTTGATCAAAATAATTAAGCCCTAAATCAAAGTCATCTGTTTTTTGT